ACGGCCCCAGAGTATTCGGTCACCGCAGGGGGTCTTTGTGGTTATATACGTATGCACGAAGGGGGTATTCACTGCAGCGTCATCGCAATCAACCTACTTCCCAGAACTGATAATTCTACCATCAGAAACCCATCACACAACATCTCTACAGCGTAAATGTTATCCAATTTGCTAGCGCCAGTGTAGGGAGTGAAGCATCACACGTGGGAGGATGCACTTTACCGCCAAGTGGGAAGTATGCCACTTGATGTAGCCCGATCCACAAAGTGGGGGCCAGGCCGTGCGTGGCACGCGTAGACTGGTTGTTTAGCTTTGCCAGCCACTGTGTCAAATCTCATTTCTATTGGCTTGACTCGAACAAGCCACTGATGTGTGGGAGGGAGGAAAGTGGGAACGATTCTGGAAAGCTCATCCCCACGGCCAAGCAGTGCACTCCTCGCTATAATAGACCTAACGAGCCTGAATCTACCAAGAGGCGTTAATTGTCGTGATTTGGAAGGTTGCTCACTAAGAAAAAAACTTGACTCACCTCAGGACTGAGGGTCAACTTTGCAATGGTTCCCTTCCAATCCGGTTCTAATGACATTCTATGTGAGACTCAAGATCCCACCAAATGTAGCTTGGTACATGCGTAGCGAGGACGGCGCCGGGTGTGGCTCGCGCAGCGGGGTCATTCAACCACCGCACCCACGCTTACGTCGAGTCGCCTCGATTCTGCCTTGCCATCGGCAAATTGTGGCGATGGCAAAGGAGAGCAAGGTGCAGAGGCAGCGGATACCTGTACCACTAGCGAGTCACGTCTGCGCCCACATCGTGGGACGCCGGCGGAAGTTGTCGCTTCCGGCAGTAGATCGCAACCGCTGGGGCGACGGACCCTTGGCTTGGCGGTAGAGTGGTGGACTTGCTAAGGCTCGATGCACAAAGAACGACGGTCTGAACCTCGAGTTCTGCAAACCTGGGGTTAGCGCTGGTAGGCAACAGCCAATAAGTCGGAAATGGCCGCCCCAATCTCTCTTCTCTCTGTCGGTATTCCCCTTCCGAACCACATACTGTCGTCCAACTTTTTGCACACGTCCTATGAGACTATCTGTGTCAAGTCCGACTGTGGTGGCGACATAAGAGGTTAGCACCAAGCTATTATAACCTATAGAATGTAATGTCCCGGTGAGCGGTGTCCAAATCGGCTGGCCTGTCGAAAAACGCTGTGAAAACCAAAATACCTTCGAGCTGCATATTTATTCATGAGAAGGCAATCTCTGGAGGAAAGGTCAGCAGTTTGAAGAGTCGGCCATTCACTAATACCTGAAGGCCAGGGCGACATGTGTGAAGTAAGGACGATATCGTCGGACGAACCAATGCCTCTCGCAGGATTTTTGCGCGTTGTCGAAGAAGCCTCTGCTGCTGTTGCGATAACTTAAGCGTCACAAAAACGGACAAGTACGGTTTAATTTCTGTTCTTCATCGCCAGTCAATGCATGTGGCCCATACGGACAGCGGGGATATCTATATAGCAAGCCCCACCCTGCACCAATGCACACTCGGCCGGCTCCAGAGTCTACGACGAGTCGTGAATAGTTATAGCGGTCTGAGCATGGTAGAGGGAGCCTCCGATGCTATTGGGGAAATGGGCTGCGCTTTGGTTAGTAAAGCGATAGCATTGACGGATAAATCGACTGCACAAGCTCCCTTTATCCTTGTATAACTAAGCAGAACCTCGAGAGTACGTCAGGCCACGCAGTCTTATATGTTCGGAACTGCCTACTAACGGTGGGGAAAGGGGTATAATGGTTTGTTGAGTATGGTGACGCCTGGTGAGTAGTTACCAGACTAGAACGAATAGTACGTGACAGTTCGACCATCGATTTCGATGATGTCCACCGTGTGCCCCACAGCAGGTTGGAGCAGGGACGGTGACTTGCGCAGGGGTTTATAGTGCCAGTAGTACGTATAGGCAGGTAAAACTCGCAGTTGCTAGGGCCAACCGCTATGTTAAAACCTCTTCTATAAAAGAGAGGTTTACTTTTCCTATCAGTGTCTATCCGCCCGGATTCATGTTTTTAGAGGTGTCTATCAGAAGAGTGAAAGATAAAAACAGAACTGGCAATACTTACGTCTCTTTGACCAACGAAATGAATCCGCATGGTATCCGTAAATGAGTTCCTGGGGCCCGCTACATAGACGGGGCTGATTTGGCGGCTCACTGGGCTCCCCGTCTTCATTGGGCCCTCGTCCGTCCACTCTGTGCCTGCAGGGCCGTGGTTACAACCTATGCCCAGGGATCAGACCTATTCGCATAGCTTGTAGTCGTGTAACTGCGACTCCTGCCTAAATGCAAGGTCAGTTAAAACACTTAGACCGTTAGAGGAACCGTACCACTCACCTTACCTAGGCTCGTTTTCAGTCCACCTGATTTGAATGCGTACGGCTACCTAGGATCAGTGGGTAATGCCGACGCCCAATTCAACAACGATGCGCTCTGCCACTTAAACACTCCCTATGGGCAACAAGGAAAATCACAAATGCGGTAAGTTTGTTGTCGGATCCCCCTCCAGGGGATACGCAAGTAACGACTCATAAGGTCGTCGGTCTGTTCTCAAGGAATCCTCTGGTGGATTCCGACTCTTGGCACACCGATTTCCTACGAGGGGGTAATCGACCTTGCTGTGTTCGTGGCTCCCTTGCGATCCCGACCAGATTATGCGACAAATGCACCGTCTATCAACAGGCACGAGGAGGGAGCAGCAACCGGGCCACGTTTCACGGCTATGACCGAATATCTACAGACCCTGTGCTTACTCAGGACGAATATTTGGCCGATGCGCATCTGGCCTTCAGAATAGAACTGCAGTACACACCGCAGTGCCCAACAGCGTCGACCGTCAAACGCCGCACCGAACTCGTGAGCGAATCAATCGGCGGAAACTTAACCCGGTCCGGCACGACTGCCACCACGGCAGCGACACCGGCGTCACCAAACAACAGCGGGATGACGACCACCCACATGTGCGCGGGTGCAACGCCATCTGCCGTGTTGGCCGCTCACGGAACCGACGCCAAATCCCGCATAGGGCGCCACCGTCCAAAAGCCGCACCAGCCGCACTCTTGCGGCACATTGCGAGACCCCAGCGTAGGCCACCAGCGAAGCGGCTGGTCCTAACTGCCGACCCCACATACGTAGAGAACCACAGGATCGGTCTGCAGTCGAACACGTGCGAGACTAAGCACGACCGAGTGGCCGATCCCGAACAACCGCCAACCATTATGACCGCCAGTTAAGGTCACCACGGACTAACGAGCGACGGCAGAGGGCGGCAGCGATACCCACCTTCCCTTCCTGCACTCTTCCCGGCGTGAATCAGCCAACACAACGCGTCGACGGGCGGCGTTCGCCTCCCTGCAACTGTGAGGCCAGTCCACAAACCCTGCCTCTTACGCACGCTAGCCTTAATATCCGCTGCTTTCCTTGCCTTCACCTACAGAGACATGCATGACTGCAGTCACTAACGCTCGGGACGAACTGCAGCGACCCTCGCTCGTCGGCATAAATTAGCCGTGCGCAAACGCCCTCGATTGACCGAACGGCTTAGTTTCGCCAAAGTGAAAACACTCTTCTAAAAATCAGAAATGCACTTTATTCGGCGACAAGACATTTCTGTCAACGCATATGAAAGAGATACAGAGGTTGTTGTCCGCTCCTCACTGCCGACTGGCTTCGGGGCACCTGGATGCAATATGGCCGTAACCACCGCACCTACAAAGCCGCCAGCGGCTTAGATCACCTCAACAAACCTTACCCGTAGCACTTCCTGTCGTCTCCGCCGCCACCACCGCTGCGGTAGCCCCCACGGCTACCTTGGGGACAGTCACGAGCCATGTGACCATCCTCACCGCAGTTGTAACATCCACGGCCACCGCCGCCACCACCACCTCCGTTGGACTGGTTTCGCGGAGCAGTGCAGTCTCGGGAAATGTGGCCCGTCTCACCGCAGTTGTAGCATTCACCTGCAGCAACAAAGACAGTTAAGTACAGTTCGACACGGCTCGGAGCTCATAACCCTCGTACAGTTTTTTACCTGATAAGGGAAATGGGCGCGCGCCAACAAAATCCTGAACGCATAACCGCAGCTAACCGGATAAATCAGAATGATCCATCACCGGCGAGCCAGGTAATAAGATCTGATGTAGCATATGCTTATTAATTCAAGCGACACGATTCGACAACATCTCAACCACTCTTACCACGGAAGCCGCCGCCGCCGCCGCCACCACCGCCATAGCCACCGCCTCCATAACCACCATAGCCACCACCGCCGCCATAACCACCACGACCTCGACCGCGGCCACCGCCACGACTTGAGAAACCACCACCGCGATCAGAACTGTCAGGACACTCGCGGGCGAAATGCCCAGGACGACCACACTTGTAGCAAGAATTGTCACGATCACCCATGCTGCTCAGAAGACACGACCGGCAGGACAAGCAACACACTGGAAAGTGTGACAGGAAGCGCCCCAGCACTACATTAAAACAAGACAACCTAAAACAAAGAAATTAATTTTTACAAAATGTATAATATATCTCTCTGTATTATAATCACGGAACATTTAAAGATTTTAGATTAGTTTTTTGATTATTTGCGCCCAATAATTTAGGATGTAGAACAGGGGAAAATTGTCTCAGTAAGTCAACATTCAAAATATTGAACAATTATTTTTCTGATAGTCATACCAATAAAGCATATGTCTGATGTCACGAGTAAGTCTACTAACCGTTGCTTTAACTGTCATAGTAGCGGTTCGCCTGTGTTGTTGACTAAGTGGTATGTTTTCGAAATCCTTGCTGGCTTCTCTCACTAAGATCCATCTTGATTCCCACAAGAATCTATTTTGTTCTGTAAATGATCATGGAGTGGGGAACAAGCATACCACAATAGTGAATCTCGCGTTCTCCATGCGCGAGGGATGGTTGGCTTTATAATTCTCAACTGTGCGGCTTCCCCTTAAAAGTCAAATCACTACCCATTTAGGGACCAATATTTGTTATTTTAGGGCAATGATCGACCGCAGTGCCTCCTTATGTTCCTTATCATCTACATTTTTGCCCGAAGCTTCCCTGGCGTGCTGGGTGTCTTATTGTTGTGTCTTTTTGGGAAGATCGATGTCAGATTTTAGTTCAGGTTCCATTAAACCTTTATTTCACTGCTCTTCTCCACACCAACCCTACTCAAATGATGGTTTGCCAACCTCAAGTCGTTTCTACGGTTCAGTGGCCTTACCATCAAATGGGATCAGCTGTGTTATCCTGTTTGGTCCCTGGAAATGTTAGTATAATGCTATCCCTCTGTTGAAAGTCTAAACCTATGTCATCTGCATCATGACCAGGCTGGTTCACGGCAGTACGATTGTCCTGCAGACTATTTAATATCTTTTCACCAGCGTCGTAACCCTGCTACTTAATGACGTGTGCAATCAACGAATAGTGCCTACTTTTTCGCCGCGGTCGGTTAATTAATAGGCTTGATACAAGTGAGTGCGTGCTGCTTCGCCGTAGAACGGCCTGTCAATTGTCCCTGTCTTTTTGCGTCGGACAGTAGAAGGGTCCATCGATCCTAATGACCACGCCAGACCTTTTTAAAAAGGCCTTGTCAAACTGGTCCTTTTCACAATATACCAACCAGCGTCCACACTGTTATCGCAATTTATACAATCTTGTCTTAACCACTAACCTTGGGATGCGCCTAAGACCGAGTGTCATTGTGACAGATTACCTTATTCGGTCCTCAGTCTTACAGCCCGATGGAACGCCATTTATTTCATCGCGTTTTCTATTTATTTCCAAATCAGCACGCCGCCATAGGAATTGATTTTTCCTGTGCTCGTCTCTGCCGTACATTGCGCCCCAGCTTCGGGGGTTTGTGAAGTTACTGCACAGTGTGCCCGTCGACTTGGTGCACGACGGCGGAGGTGTTGTTTGGGTGGCGGCACTTGGTTAGGAGTCCCACAACTTCCACTGGCCAGCAGACCAAATTATATAAATAATTTTAAATAACTATGACCGAAAAATAACATTCGTGTTGCATGTACTGGAGGCAGGTCTTAAGATAAACTTTACCCTAACTTTGCCCATAATTTCAGTCCTTTGTTTGTTTTTAAAATATATCACCTGAGATGCCCCGTTTATTGTAAGCACGACAACACCATTGAGGCGGCTTTTGCGCGTTCGCCAGTCACGTAGTAAATTGCACCTGTCATCTAACTTCGGTTTGCAATTGGAACATCTTCCCATGTTTTTAGGCTTCGGCCACCTGCGTGTGGCTGAGGGAACGCTTTGCTTTACTAAGCTACACTTTGGTCATATATCATCCCTACCCCACAAAAGCCAAGTCAGAAGTACCGACAGTCAATGTTCTTGTGGAGCACAGTATTGGCTATATCTTCGTACCCCATTGGGGCTCAGAGGAAGTCACTTTCAGAAGTTTAACGGAGTCGCTGAGTCAGTTTACTTAGAGTCTCTATCAAGACCGAATCCGAATTACTTCTATGACCAAGTAACCGCCAGTTGGTTTGCTTTTTGTTTATAATGGGCATTTAGGGCCAATTAAAAACTTAGCCTGAAGATTGATGAGTCGAACGCAATCTACCAAAATCCTTTAGGGCATTGGAAACAAGCACTCCGAAGAAACTTTTTCGCTGGAGGAAAGTTCAACGCCACAAGTAAGACCCTATCCTGCGACCTCTGAAGCGACGAAACCGCTCCAAATTACTCGACACTGGTCACATGGTCGGGTGTCAAGAAAATAGTGCACACTCGGAAGATCTCCCTATCATTGGCAATTGCGCAAAAATCTTTTTCCGGAGTCGGACTCGAACTCCGCTATCCTAATCGGCAGGACAACAACAAGTGCTACTACGCCATCTTTTGGCAGCCGTAAAACTGTAAATTATACAAAGTAAGCATCGGGATTTGCCAAAATGACAGTAAATATGTATATTCCGCGACTAGTTTACCTCCTGCTAAGCGGGCAAAAAGCCTATTAACCTTAGTTGATACCGTCTGTAAGAACGAACAGTGTACGGGGCGTTAAAATCTTCAGAGTCCAGAAGGAGACATACAACTTTAAGAAAAATGGCAAATCTGAAAGAGTTTGTTCGTTGTCCAATCTGAAAATAATCTGAATCTTACCAACAACTTCAGAAAAATGATGCATGCCGATATGGTTTAGTAAGGCAAATCTGGCGCTGAGACAACAGACGTCGCGTCTAGTGAGCTCATCAGTACGACAGTGGACCTTCCTTTCCTTTGAAAGAGAGATCAAACAAGTTCATGCATTTTGCCGATATCATTTAATTCGAACAGCACCAGCAGTGGTATGGGTACACAACCAAGGATAGCATTGATGTTGATTGTCTCACCGAACGGCATTGCTGAAAGTCCAACCAATTTTAAGAGCCGAGATGAAGAAAGTCGAAGAGGACTAGGAATGTTACAGAAAGAGGCCAGAACAACAGTTAGGATCCTTCATCCCAGTGGGCTTTTGGAAGGACTCCGATGTCGGTAACATAAGAACCACTGTAAGACAAACTAGCGAGGTTCAGGAAGAGGGCTCCTGCTTTAATTTCACATGGGACCCGTCATTACACGTTAAATATAATGTGTTTTCGTAGATCTTTCATACTACTACATTATGTGCTGACTATACACATGTAACTGCATCTATAAGCCCAAATCCATTCATGTGGACTCGCCATGGGCGCCGACCGTAGCCCCTGCATACATACTTACGAAGGAAATCGGAATGTTTGCAAATGTTGGTGCAAGAGACTTCGAAGGACATGGGGGCTAAACATATTACATAACTCTTTCTAGAATGAGGGACAAGAACAGCTACTGTTGAGCAGGAAACCTGCTCTCCAAAATGCCCAATCATCAGTTTTATTAGCAGGAATTTTCACCCGCGGAGAAAGAGACAGAGAGAGAGAGAAAAATTGAGGGGGCACAAATTGGAAGTCCTCAGGAAATCGAGCCTGGGCGAGAAAAGTCTCAGAATACTGAACTGGAAAATTAAACACGCCCAGAGGCCATTTCTCTAGGGAAAGCCTATAACCCTAACAGCTTAGCAGTGATAGACAGCAGTCCATCTCGATCAGCTCCGGTCGGCTTTTGCATTCAATCGCATGAGATGGAAAGACGTCCGTATGCCGGGGTTGCTCATGCCAAATTGAGATTTTTTATACTAATGTTCATATTCTCGTTTCGAAGATCGACGAAGTCAAAGACCTAGTTTCAGAAAGAAATCCCGACGTCTTGGTCATAACGGAAACATGGCTGAAGGCCGAACTCTTGGATGCGCAGATTTCGATAGGTCTTACCAGCTCTCTCGCAGAGACCATCGGTGGGATAGTCGTACATATAATGCCGATTTACTACGCTTAAGCAGATGGGGTTCAACATAGCAGATGCAGTTTACATCATCCAAATGTAGTTTCATGTCTTTTGGTCCTGTCAAACGTCCTGGTCCCATAACTTTTCAGAATAATCCACTCTCAGAATGCTTCATCATAAAGGACCTAGGTCTAAGTTATACAAATAAACTTGCTTTATCACCTCATGCAGATAGAATCTCTGCCAAAGCCGCGCAGATATGTGGATTCATATCGCATAATTTTTTCCTTCGGGAAATGAAGCTAAGACTTTATCAAATGTTTGTTCTTCCAGTCCTCGAATATTGCTGTCCTTTCTTCGGGTTAATGCACGCCTGCGACCGTAATAAAATCGAAAATGTTCAGAGGGTTTTCACCCGAAAACTGCTCTCTCAAGTCGCACCCGGTATTTCCTATACTCAGAGATGTCAGCTGGCGAACATTAAGTTTTTGTGGGTTAGAAAACTCGAAGCTGGCCTTTGCTTCCTTTTTCGCATCAAATCTACCTCCAATCTTCCGCTCATATGTC